ATTAAGAAAACACTGTCTTTTGAAAAAGAATGTAAAAGCATAAGAGAAGAGTCAATCAGTTAATAAACATGGAGAGCAGGTCCAGCAATGACAGGATCTCTACCAGAAATGTCAAGAGGAAAAGAGAGAAAATGGAGAAAGACAGTAAAAGAAATTGAAGAAGATCTGCATAGTTTGAAGACATTAGTCATTGAAGGCAGAGAGGAGGAGTTGGGAGGAAAGGGGGGAAAGGAAGGAGGGGGAAGAGAAGGGCGGAGAGATGGACAGAGATGGATGGACATCACTCTCTGCTTAGACACGATGTGACATATCTAGGTCTAAAGATAAAAAGACAAGCTTAAGAGGATTAGGAAAGAAAAAAACATGGACTAATACACATAAGAAGACTGAACTCTTACTGTGTTTTACAATGACAATAATCTAAAAATAAAACCTGAGATTGGGGTTTTCAAATATCAGGAACAAACTACTTAGAAGAACCATGTCTAAAATAAGCAGAGCAGACAGGCTTTCATCATTGTGGAGAACAGACTCTTTTAACAAAACATGGGAGGGATTCTTAGCAGCAGCAAAGTCAATCTGATCGATGTTCCCCCTCAGTCCTAGAGGAGCCGTGGGGTGGGGTAAGGAAAGGAAGGAGACACGGGTGGTGGGGGTTGGGGGGGGTGGGAAGGTGGAAGACTCAGTGGAAACCAATTCTGTGGTGGTCTGAATAAGAATGACCCCCATAGGTTCCTATATGTTAATGCTTAATCATCAGGGAGTGGCACTACTTAAGAAGGATTAGGAGGTGTGGCCTTGTTGAAGTAGGTGTGGCCTTGTTAGAGAAAGTATGTCATTGAGAGTGGGTTTGGAGGTTTCAAAAGCCCAAGTCTCAGTGTCTCTCTCTTGCTGTTGCCTACAGATCCAGATGTACGTACAACCATTGGCTACCTCTCCAACACCATGTCTACCTGTATGTCTCCATGCTTCTCACTATAGTGATAATGAACTAAACCTAATGGAACTGTAAGAAAACTCCCAATTAAATGCTTTCTTTGATAACAGTTGTAATGATCACAGTGTCTCTTCATGGCAATAGAACACTGGCTAAGACATTATCCAAAATCATGATCCAAGAATATTCAGCACTCTACATTTCCTAAGAGCAGAAAGACATGTATTAATGAACGTAGTCCTAGTAACTAATGACTGCTTTTCTGTTCTAAGTTATTTTGATGAGATCCCACAGCAAGTCACAAATCACCAGAGCTCCTATTTGCACCGTTAGAAAAGCTTTGCAACGCAATCAACAAACTTCCAGTAACACTCGTCTTAGAGAGCTGTCATAGTCGATCAAGATCATTTCCAATGAACACCATATTTTCGGGGCATTCATTGAAAAGTGGCATCTTGGACCATTGTACTAACAGTGTTCTAGACCAAGAATTGTACCTATATAAATCCTGAAACTGTTGTCAAAATGTGTTCACCCACACTGGTAGAGAAGTAAGTACCACATGGCACCAGTATGCAGCTCAGGCCAACCACCAAGTCTGGGCAGATACCAGGAGTACCAGGATGGGCAAAATGCAGGCATTTAGGGATGAGCAGATAGAAGAATCCAGGGGATAAGCAGATGCAGGGGATAGAGATGTGCAGGACTGTGGGGATGAATAGATGCAGGAATTTGGGAACTTCTGCACAAAAATGTAACTTGGAGTCCCCCTTGAATTGTCCAAATCCATTTCTAAAGGCAGCAACCCATCACATTAGATCAAAGTGTCCTTCCATCACAGGAAGCTCAGGTGACAGGATGAGGGTACTACAGCTAGTGCATGCATCTGCATTCTGTGAACATGCCAGCAGCCATTAGTCCTAAGGTGGGACTCATCTCTGAGTGTCTTCTATAGCAGGTCCTCTCCTTCCCCCATCTGCTTCCCTCTCCTCTCTCCTCTTTCAAGATCTGAAGTGGTTCCAACTGAGTGTGCTTTCTTTTTTGTGATCATACTCTAAAGCTTCCAGGGGAACTTCCATCACAGGAAGCTCAGGTGACAGGATGAGGGTACGACAGCTAGTGCATGCATCTGCATTCTGTGAACATGCCAGCAGCCGTTAGTCCTAAGGTGGGACTCATCTCTGAGTGTCTTCTAAATGGATCTGGAGAGTCATTCCTAATGGAAACGGTGCAGCCACATCTTCAAGGCTGGAATAAAAATCAGAATGGAGCCCAAAACTGAAACAGTCAGAAAGAGCCACAGGAAGATCCGGTCAAGAACTTGAGCCACAAATTTCCAGTCTTGCACTACCTGCAAAAAAGAAAAAGGCACCTGTCATTCCAGAAGCTGAGCAGCTCTCTTGAACTCATTAAGAGATGTAGAAAGAGCAATATTGGATTTATGACACATTTTTAAGCTTTCAAAATGTATATGCACATCACTAATGACATGGACTTAGATATAACCAGGGATGTTGTTCATCATATCCCAAGAAAATAACTTACAAGTTGAGTGTTTAGGAACACTTATTACAGTGAAGATGTAAAACAAAAACTATAGAATTATTTGTATACTTGGAAATATTGCTAATCAAACACACACACACACAAAAAAAAAAAAAACACCTGATTTTTATACAATGCTTCCTGATGTGCCTATCACAAATGGATATCTTTAGAGCACTTTTAGGTAAATATCACAGGATTTTCCTCCTACTCCACATGTGGCCATGGCTCCTCTAGCTCCAGAAGACAGGACTGAGGAACAGAGGAAATGACAGTTGGGACATTATAAGAAAGGGTTCTATGGAGACTTTAGTTAGGCTGGGATGTCATGGGGGAATAGGTACCAGGTGTGGAGCAGCAGGTCCAGGAAGGAACAAGCCATAGGCTAGAGAAACCTGCAAGAGAAGCATGGGATCTCACCTTTAAAGGGACACAGAGTCCAGTTTCTATACATGGTCTCAAGCTTATAGCAGTTCCCCTGGAAGCTTTAGAGTATGATCACAAAAAAGAAAGCACACTCAGTTGGAACCACTTCAGATCTTGAAAGAGGAGAGAGGAGAGGGAAGCAGATGGGGGAAGGAGAGGACCTGCTATATTCTAAGGACACACAGTTTCATCTCCCCAGGAATCTTGAAGCAGTACTGAGCCTCATGATAGATTGCCAGGGGAAACCAGGACACTGTACAGGGAATTGCTAACCAGTTGAGTACTGTGATCAACGTTTTCAGTTGCAGTACCTGTAGACAAGGATTTGGTAAAGACGGAATAGAGCAGGAGGCCCACCCGCTGGCAGAAGGGGGACAGCAGGCTGTCCTGAGCTTTCCAAGTTTAGAAACAAAACTGTAGCATAAAACGCACAAGCAAGAGCAAAATGCTAGAATGTTAACCTTAGGTAGTGGGATTACTAGTGATTATGATCCTCTTGTCTGAGTTTTTCAAATTATCTGTGCTGGTCATACTTTTTAAAACCCACTTAAGTATTTATATTAGTATTTACAAAAGATATAAAAAGTAAAACAGAAACTCCTTCCCTAATAGCTGAAGCATATCTGGAAGAGAAGGTGTTTTTCTAGTCTTTTGTTTTTAAATCAAAATCCTTAATTGTACGAAAAATATGATAAAGAGTTAAGAGAGAAAATGAATCACACTGAAGCTATGAAGACAAGATAAAATATAAAGTGTGCTTCCAAAAACACTTTCATAAACCTGTTCATGAGCCTTGATCTAATTTTCAAGAATTTTAGAGTAAAATGACCCAAACCCTGCCTGTAGATGGTGCAGAAATAAAGGCTACTTTCAGCCTGTGTACTGACAGATTTTGTCATTTTTTTTTCCCTTGTCCTGTTCTTCAAGGTAGGTTCAAAAAAACATGAAGTTCTGACAATGTGACATGTCACACAGGAGAGGGGTGGATGTGGCCAGGGTGGTGGTGCCTCTGCAACCTAGGCATTTGTTTCCGAGACACGATCTCACTATGTGAACCATGTCGATCTCAGACTCTGCATCTTCAGCTTCCTGGGTAGCTGGGATCCCAGGAGGGAATCACCTGTCCTTGATTTTCTGTAATGTCTACACTAAGTAACCAGTTCCCTTTCCCTTGATGAAGTATCTGTTGCAACTGAACTTGTATTACTTTTCAAATTTTGATTCTTTCTAGTCATGAAACACATTTCTAAACACTGGGTTTAAAAACATCATGGGGGGGGGGGGCATGCCTTTAATCCCAGCCCTCGGGAGGCAGAGCCAGGCGGATCTCTGTAAATTCAAGGCCAGCCTAGTCTACAGAGTGAGTTCCAGGAAAGGTGCCAAAGCTACACAGAGAAACCCTGTCTTGAAAAAAAAGAAAGAAAAACATCATAGCATGAAGCAGTGAAAATTACCACAGATCAGGGTAACCCCTTTAAAGGTGCAATTGAATTCTTTAAAATGCAGTTGAGGAATTATAGCCCTGAATCTGCAGCCGCTTAGTTTTAGTCATGATGCTTCCTTCTGTGAACTTTTTTTTTTCTAAAAACTTAATGCTAAAAGTTCCTATGGTTTGCTGGGCTTGTTTTATATGCCTTACAGAGGCTAGGTGATAACGCCATTGTGAACGAGGACCACATTCTGTTTTAAGGGACACCAGCGTGGCTTTCTGGCCCGCTCCTCAGCGACCGCACTGTCACAGCACAGCAGACTCACCTGGCTGATGAAATGCTCCTTCTTCACGTGCCTTGAAATGTATCTGATGGACTCAGCCGCCCTTTCCAGGAAAGTGACCAGAACTCTTTCTCCATCACTAAGAGCCGTCTGCTTCCTTTTCCCTGAGACTTTGCCTCGCACGGCTGCTTTCCTCTCCTCTCCATCGGGGAAAGAGAAGCGGTCCATGGGGTCCTTCATGCAAAGCCATCTCGGGAGTTTTTGCAGAAACAGCCTCTTCACCCAGGGGGCCATGGGATGGTAGGTTGAAGAAGATCTGTGGTGAACGTTAATGACGAAAACTGTGACAATAATGGACAGGGTAACAAAAATCATAATGAAGAGGAGGTACTCGCCGATGAGAGGGATGACTTTCGAAGAAGACGGGATTATTTCTTCAATTACTAAGAGAAACACCGTCAGAGAAACCAAAACCGAGGTTGAGAGTGAAAGCTTTTCCCCTTCATCAGAAGGTAAGTAGAATACCAGGACCGTGAGAAAAGACAGCCCCAGGCAGGGGATTATCAAAAAGAGCGTGTAAAACAACGGCAGGCGTCTCAGAACAAAAGAGTAGGTCACAAACGGGTAGGAATAAAAACCTTCTCTTCTGTTGCCCTTCATCCCCTTTGCATTTAGTATCTCCCACTCTCCGTTATCAAAAAAGTCTTTCCGGTCAACATTTTCGTCGATCAGAATGAGGTCGACCATGCTCCCATCGTAAGTCCAGGATCCAAACTTCATCGAGCAGTTCTGCCTGTCGAACGGGAAAAACGTGACGTCCATGGTGCAGGAGCTTTTGTAGCTGGCAGGGGGAGTCCAGCTGACAGTCCCACTGGATTTCACGATGGCCTTGGTCATGAGGGAACCTTCGAAACGTCCGTCAGCACTGCCATGAAAGTAGTTACGCTTTAGTGGCTGGCCAAACGCTCACTGTCTGGAGGGTCTCCCCACTGGTCTACCTTGCATGCCTTTCCCACCATAATGGCAAACAATACAAAGAAATCACTTTGATACAGAAGGTTAATTATTCCACCCACATCAGACTGTTCTGTGTCCTGTGTTCATCTGCCCAATGCAGTACTCTGAGACACTTACTTTTCAAAGAGAACTATGTCAGGAAGCCAGAGCGATTCAGATGGAACCTTTATCGAATTAATTCCACCATATTCTTCGGGATTCCAGCGTAATTTTTGGTCTGTCCATTCCTGCGTGAAATGAGGATGCAGCAACTTTATTCTAAAGATTCAGTACGTTAGAGCTTGGGCTCTTCAAATTTCTAAAATTTACCAGCCCACCATTTAGTGACAAAAGAGATTTTTCACCCAGGTTAGACCTTGGCATCCTATCTGGGATTCAGTGAGGCTTCCGGATGCAACGTAAGCCAGCCTGGCCTCTGAACCTCCACATGCCCATGTCTGAACCAGTAAAGAGGCTCATCACGAAGGGCACTGATTCACAACTTGTGTTTCTATCCTATTTTCTCTTAAGAAACAAACAGAAAAGTCACAGCTGTGTGGGAAGATGCATGCCTATCGTCCCAGTACTTGGAAAGCTAAGCAAAGAGGACCATGAGCTCAAAGCCAGCCTGATGTATACAGTAAGACCCTTTCTATAAAGTGATAGCTGATCTCATCCAATTTGTTCCAGGAGGATTTGTCCAATGAGATTTCAGTCCCTTGACCATGGGAACATATGACTTTGGCCTGTTACTGTGAAATGTCCAGCACCTGGGATCATTCCTGATGGCATTGTCACTTTTAAACAGTGAGAACGGATGGAAGACGTCCCTTTTATGGTTTATCTAAAGCGGTTTTGTAAGCTCCTTATTAACATTTTAAATTATGTCCCTAATATCCTGGGCCTCCATATGTTTATTTTTTTTTTCTTCAAGCATTAGAAGGGTATACCCAGTGTGAGGCTTCCTGGAGTCCAGTGATGCCATCTATGTCATTAAAAAATCAAGAATTGGCAGATGGGTGACTTAATCGGATGGCAAAATATTGAAATATGAATGATGCCTAAAAAGTGCAAATCACTTTCTAAATATTTATGTTTATACCCATACTTTGTGAGGCTCTCAACCTTGGTCCAAGAAACTTTTGTTTCTAGTAGATAGTGTTCGATGCAGGGACCCATAACTCTTCAGACTGGTAAGAATGGGTGATTGCGAGTGCTCAGTGGCAGACAGGACATCTGTATCAACCTCCCCAAACCCTGCCACCCCACAAATGGCTCAGGGAACATCAAAGTGGGGAGAAAAAAATTGGAAGAGCCAGAGGTCAGGGTCAAGCAGTATCTTCTGGACAGAACTCACGTAGCTGTGGTTGCCTACACAAAGTATGCACAGGATCAAGCCCATCAACATTCCTGTGCAGATGGGAAGGGACACCCAGGCTACCACTCCACCTGAGTAGTTATTGACAGCTGATGGCCGCTAAGGGGGAGAAAGAGAGTCTGTTTTCTTTAGGGGTATAATCCCTTGCGCCAGCGGATGGCCCCACACCTATGCCTGTACAGAGAGCAGTAATCAGACTCAGGGGATTCTAGAAAATCACAGGGTTATTAAAAAAAAAAAAAGGACATAAAACTGAGTGGGGGACCTCCTGGAAGGGGTGAGGGGAGCAGAGAATGAATATAAATAAAAGACACTGAACACAAGTATGAAATTCTCAAAGAATAAACTTAAAATACATATTTTAATTACTTTTACTTTAGATTTATTGTAACACAAGAGATGAATACTTGATTTGATATTTTAAAAAAACTGTTTACTCGAGCTGTCTTTTTGTATTATTTCCTGCTCCTTCTGGCAAAGCGGCTTACATGGATTGGTTTTGGGCACAAAGGACACGTGTCTAGTTATAGCTGGCATTTTCATTTATGTGTTGCTTAAATAAATACTGATTTATTATCTCAAAAACGCAGTTCTAGAATGGATGGAGGAGGGGCTACTGAGGTCCCACTCCTGACTGGGGAGCCATTGGCAGTTGACTGTGGCTGAAGAAAGAAGAACTTTTCTTTTCTGTATGACCGTGGTACATTGCTTATGCCCCAGTGGATGGCACATATGGGCTGTGATAATTGGATTCAATGAGTGTATATATATATGAAGTTAGAAGGGAGGCATGCTAAGGAGGCTGGGCAGAGTTGAACTGGGTCGTGGGGAGTGGATATGATCAAGACCTAATGCATCTACATGGAATGTTCAAAGAATAAATCAAAACATTACTTTTTAAAAAAGAAAGTAAACTTGAAGCTCCTGATAAATCACAGTAGCTCTTCAAATGTGATTATCTCTCAACTTTAAAAAAGAAAAGAGAAAGAGAGAGAGACAAGAAGAAGAGGAAGAGGAAGAGAAGAAGAAGAAGAAGAAGAAGAAGAAGAAGAAGAAGAAGAAGAAGAAGAAGAAGAAGAAGAAGAAGAAGAAGAAGAGGAAAAAAACATGGTTGGGGGAAGCTAGAATAGAAAATATTTAAAATACTGTGTAACTGCAGGAAAGCATGCTAGAAGACCAGCAACTTAAGAGCCAGGCTAACTAAAGCATGTAGGATATTTTCTCAGCATTCTCGGGCCTCTCTTTGTTTCCCACCCCATTCAGGAAGAGCACACACAACTCGCTCCTTGTGACTACCTTGTCTCCTGCTGAGAGACTCTTGAACTCATCAGAGGGTCCGAGTCCGAGACGCGTTGACACATAGTGGCATTTTGTTGTTGTTGTTTACTTCACTTTACTTACCACTCAGTTGCCATTGAAGAGGCTGTTCACATTCAAATCCCATGCTGTGCATGGCTCTGGCTGCAGACCTCAGTCAATGCAGCACCAACTACTAAGACTTTCTTGTCCCTCATGTGCTGCTGCCTCTGTTTGTTTGTTTGTTTGTTTGTTTGTTTGTGTGTTTTGAGAGGTGGGACAGTTATTCAAGGTCCCTCTGTAAGCCAGGCTTCACTGAAAAGCGGGCATGGAAGAGTTAACTCTAGAACTGGGGTGGGGGTGGGGCGCTCTGTTTTCTGAAAGCCCAGGTGCTGCTATGCGATTAAGGCTTGATTATGCTCTTAATGTTTAGCCATGTGGACAGGTGACCTTAATCTGCTACATTTCATCAAACTATAATTTAGATTTAACTCTTTTGCAAGATATTTGGGACTGCTAGCAAATGTGTTCTCGGAAGTTACTGACGTGAAGAGCAGGACTCAAAGATTGCTTTGTCCTTGGATTTTCATGAGGAGTCACTTTCTTACGACTTCAAATTCTGCTTAATGTGTGCAATCCTATATGCAGAAAATGAATTTGGCAGCAAAAGAATTTAAGCTGTGTTTTGATTCGTAAAGCTATGAAGTATTTTATCTAAATATAAAATGATTTTTGTCTGGCTCAAATGATGTTAAAAAGAATTTGAAAATGTAAATTTATCTAAAAGATTTTCTGTGGTCAAATTTTAATACACTGACACTTTTAGAAACTAGTTCTCCATGCCTGTCTTTGGTAGGGTTTCTATTGCTATGATGAAACACTATGACCAAAAGGCAATGTGGGGAGGAAAAGCTTTATTTGGCTTACACTTCAGCGTTGTTGTTCATCACTGAGGGAAGTCAAGACAGGAACTCAAACAGGGTAGGAACCTACAGGCAGGAGCTGATGCAGATGTCATGGAGGGGAAGCTACTTATTGGCTTGCTCATCCCACCTTCTTATAGAACCCAGGACCAATAGCCCAGGGATGGCACCACCCATCATGGACTGGGCCCTCCTCGACTGATCACTAAATGAGAAAATGCCTTACAACTGGATCTCATGTATGTATTTACTCAACTCCTTCCTCTGATGACTCTAGCTTGTGTCAAGTTGACACACAAAGCCACCCAGTACAGTGCCTAAAGCAATATGGTTTCCTTTTTCTAAAGATTTATGTGCTTACTTATGTGTGTGTGTGTATATAGTATATGCCACACCTATAGAGGTACCCATGGAGGCCAAAAGAGACCTGCCTGGCTTGTGAAAGTAGCAAGGACATTTAATCACTGAGTCATCTATCTCTCCAACCCAGCAAATGAGGCTTTCTTTAAAATATTGTCTGCTCTTAGTAACATTGGCTAAATTTATGTGTCTTATGCTGAATCTGTAATGCTTTTGACTACTTTGGAAACGGAAGTCTTTCAAAGCAACAATACTTTAGAATACTTTATTGAATTAAAATTGAAAAGGAGTGGGTGTGTCTGTGATGAAAAAGAGGTAGTTATGTGTCTGACTGGAGTTGAGGAGTAGGAAAGTATATATTATATGAAAAAAAATTTTAAATAAAACATTATGGAAAAGTCACAGAATTAAGGACATGCAACTTAAACTTTTAATGCATGCAAAGTGGCCAATGAGCTCACTCTTTTATATACCATGAGTTATATGTCAACCTTTAACATATAAACTGGCTGATAAAATTTGATAATTCTACTATTTCTAACCAACATGATTCAGATGGAAAACCCGCCATTTCAGCAGTCTATTAATTTAAATGTGAGATCTACCTCTATTTGCCCTGACTCAATAAACATTTTTACCATACATATAAAATATGCTTGCACTTCAGAAAAGGGTTTTATTGGCATTTGTCACCTCTCTCTCTCTCTCTCTCTCTCTCTCTCTCTCTCTCACACACACACACACACACACACACACACACACACACACACACACACACACACACAGTGTCATACCAAACCAGTGTGGACCGATTCTGTCCCGGTGCTGGGGAACAGACCAAACCAAACCACAAGATGGGTGGTCAACAATACAATCAGAGAAAATTTTTTATAGACAAAGAGGAAAAGTTATCAGACTCAAAATGTGGTCATACTGGGTATGGTGGGCCAAGCCTGAAATCCCAACGCTTGGAAAGAGAGCAGGAGGGTCATGAGTTTGAGGCCACTGAGCTCCTTTGTCTTAAAGCAATGTCTTGTCATATTGCTTGTGTGCTGAATGAAACTGTATATAAACCCTTACCCCGACCTCCTTCAGATCATGAAGACCAATAGCATCTCAGTTTGCTAATGGGGTCTGGGCCAGGTTTCCCGGTCTCTGGCAACAAAGTGGTTCCCAGCCAGTGTGGGAAGATCCAAGTAGATTCTAGTCACAGCAAAACACGGGCACACAGCCCAGAGCAGCAGAGATAAAGAGCACAGGCAGGCTGTCTGGAGATGCAGACACTACACTCACAGTCCATTCTTAGAAAATCAAAGTGACTAAGCACAGTCAATGAACTTAACCTATACTCCTTTGCTTGGCACTTAAGTCCTGCTGGAAAGCGAGTCACCGGCTTCTTGGGCTCAGTTTTTTTCCTTCTTAAAGACAGAAGGTCCTTACTTAAAACCGTTTCTGTCCTATAAAGGATGACCAAGTCTAAAGACCCCACCTTGTTGCGGGCTCTGGAAAACAACTAATTTCACATGGCGATTCATGGTGTAGTTTCTAAAACTGTGGGTAGTGATCCCATACAGGATCCTGTATCAGTATAGAGGCTTCGAAAAAGTTGGAAACAACTGTTTCTGGATGAACAACAACCAAAAATTTCTTCTAAACGAAGCAGGACATGAACCTGAGGTGTTTGGGGCAGAGCTCACCCACGCCTCACCGTGTGGCTTTACTGATGCCTTGGGTCTGAACCCAGTCTGCATGCTTGGCCCTTGGCGTGGCATTGTGCTCCGCAGTGCCAACAAATGCTGCCTAGACGCGTCGCTCAGATTCTCGGCCGCCATGCTTGGGTTGCATATACAGTTTGTGCTCTCCAGAAACCTAATGATTTTGTTGTGAAAAATCAAGATTTTGGCATTTCCCACCGTCGTTTCTCACCATAAAAGTAATAAAATCAGTGTATCTCCAGATTCCAATGCGTGAAAGTGTTTGGCTTTTAAAATTGCTGCTTACATTGCTGGCTTGAGTTTCACAAAATTAATTCAATGAATTTTGCCTCAGCATCAGGACAAAATTTCCAGGAATTTCTGAAATGGCCCTGAACTCACGTCTTCCGCTCCATATGTGGTCACACAAAGCTGCCTTCTGACCATTGGAGGTGACAAACCCAAGACACCATGCAGCTCTGAGAAACGCTAAAGATGCTCCACAGCCCATGGTGTTAAACGTTGCATCCATCTCATAAGCATGCAAATTTCCTTCCATCTGTGAGAAATGGTAAAATTACACACACACACACACACACACACACACACACACACACACACACCAGGAAACTGTTTTAAAATAACTTGCTTCCTATTTTAGCATCAGTAAATATTTATTTTGCATATGTCCACACCTATGTGTTTAAGGACCCCACAAAATTTCTTTGACAAAAGGGAGTGAAGAGTGAAATAATTTCAGAAACACTGTTCTAAGGGGACTGAGGCAAGCCCCGGGGGAGGATTTCTAAGCCAGAACAATTGCTCTTGCTTTCTGCCCTCCTGCAGCAAGATGGATAACAGGGGGTAGAGATGTAAAAAGAAGCAGCTCAGGGGACTTCTGTTGCTTGAGGAATTCATTGCATCACTGAACAGGCCATATTAAGTGGCATTGAACACAGTGCTGGTCCCTGTCACTACACTCCCAGCCTGAGACTGACTCACACAAGCTGCCAGTGGTACTGTGAAAGGGTGGTGTAGGCATTCTGATGGTGTAGGGAAGGGTGAGGAATCAGAGCGTGGCTGGTGGGGCAGGTTAGGGAGATGGTGGTGGAATTATGTGTGGGAAGGTCCTGAGAAGAAATAAAGAATGGATGGATGGATGGCAATGCATTTGGACCTCGGACATGATGGTGCAGAATCTGAGGGGTCATGACATTGTGCTTCCTCATGTGGCTTCAGCAAGTCAGTTAATAAGATATTTATGGTCCCCAGGGATTTGATTACTCTGAAAGTTCAAAGAAGAAAGACAAGCAAGTCTGCAAAATAAAATCAATAGAATAAAAATAGGTCCAGCTGGAGGGATTCCTCTGCTTGGGAGAGCTGTACTTTGTAAAGGTCGTGGTTGAGAGGAGACATCATTGGCTAGTGTGGGAAGGAAAGGAGGAAAGAGGGGGAACTGAGTGCTTTCATCTTCATTTTGATTAAGGTGTGCTGGGATGGTTGGAACAAGTTTCCATTGGTTTGCTTAGGCGTGAGAGCATTATGAAGTCATGGGGATTATTGGGAAGACAGTTTATGTGGTCCACAAAATCCACTCCTATCTGGTTTTCAGGCCTTCTGTTTGACCTTGACACCTGTGTTAGAGATCTGCTCTTCTTGGGAGCATTCTCTGACTGTCCCCCATCTCAATGGCACCTTCATGTAATCATGGGGTCTTATACAAACTTATTTATGATGTACATCACCTTATAGTAACTATTCCTTATGTAACTAACTCTCATCCTCTCCTTGAAGACGTGGCTGTTCTTCTCTTTCCTCCTAGGATCTTTCACAGTGTCTGTCACTTAGCAGGACTCTCAATAAATAGTGTTGAATCCCTGTCAGTCACCACCTGCCCAGGGCCACCCCTGTCCCATACTGCATCACCCCTGAGGAACAGTGCCACGGGAAGGTGCATCCCCATACACTAACAGAGCTACTCTCCTGGGTTCACAGCTGAAGAGAAAACAGATCTTTCCCAGGCATCCCTAAATCTCCCCCTGAGAAACCCAGCATGCTTCCTAGAGTGTTTTACAGATGGCAACATGTCTGAGTAGAAAGCAATGTCAGACCCTGGGCTGGCGGGCAGACACAGCTTTGGTGACCTCACCTGCTTGAGCCACACATTGGTTGTCATCAGCTGATTCTTTTCATCCTAAGGAAGGGACAATTAAAAAGGTTGAGCATTAAGCAGCATCTTCCAGACACTGCACGGTAGCTGCAAAAGTTAACTGAAAACAGTTGCAATGATGTGCATAAAACCTGTGCAAGTCCCAGATAAACCAAATCCCAGTGATAAACCAGATCCCAGTGTGGAGATGGGCATTGGGCAGGAAAACCCACTCCTGGCTGTGGAGTTATTGGTCATTGTTAGTTTCTGGAGATGGAGAAAAGGTTTTCTCTATGAAGGTAGCTAGCCCTGGTTAAACCAACCGTGATGCACACATCCAAGAGTATTAGCCAGCCATAAATTGGTGTTGAGGGTTTATATTTAAAGGTGTAGTGTTGGGTGATGAGCAGGGAGGGAGTTAAATCTGAGAAGAAATGGGAGCATGATCAAAACAAGTCGTAAGAAACTCTCAAAGAACTAATCAAGGATTTTAATAGTTGGCAGTTAGAAAGGATTAAAGTGGAGGGTTTCAATTTTTTGGCTTTTTCTTAGGGAGAATCATGAGTCTGTAAGTGTTCAAACCCCAAAAGAGCAAGGATTCCAAACTTAAGAGCAAGTTGGTGATATGCAGCCCTAAAGCATTATGCGTATTTTGCTCAAATAAAACTACCCATTAAAACAAACAGTAATTCATTTTGGAGACACTTTTATCAACTGAACAACTCAGAAGGCCTTGGATGGTGCAAAAAAGGAAATTAGAGCTGGATGTAAGACAAACTGGGGATGATGGGAAGGAATCCTGGGGTATTGGATTCTCAGTCTAGAGAGGGAGAAGAAGGCCACAGGCTTGAGCCACACCCGAGAAGTGTTCTAGAGCTTTGGGAACCATCATAGGGTGAGTTCCCACATTTGGTCAATCTGAGCCTACAGCTTTCTCCACAAACAGAAACACAGCAGAAGCACAAACCCAAGAGGAAAATGAGCAGAGATGCCAGGGTGCGGATGAGTTCAGGAAAAGGGAGTTGCCTGGGGATGGTGACAGGGCACTGCCATCACCCACTTGTCTTCCTCTAGATGCAGGAGCCCTGACAGCCCAGCTCATAGGCAGCCGTGAGTCGGGATCCCACCTGTCACCAGGACCTTCGTCTTCCCTGTTCCCGGGCTTCCAACCAGGGGCCAGTTCTCTTCCAGTTCCCCTCTCCACCTTCTGCCCAAGAGTCCTACAATGCTGGCATGGAATGACCTCTCATTCCTTCCTCAGGACATTTCACTAGCTCCTTGGGGCAGATTTCTGCTCACCATAGCCTATTTGTAAAATGTCAGTGTCAGGAACAGGGACAGATAAATGTCTGGAGTCACAACAGGTAAGGACCGTGTGCTGTTTTGAACTCAGGGCGGAGAATGACTCACCACATCCACAAGCTGCGATATTTTCAACCCAAAATGCACTTTTATGGTGTCACTGGAATTCAACACAGGGCGAACCCATTTCTGATAACCTTGGAACAAATGTCTGAGGAGGGCATCTTCATGTTCGGCTATGGAGCTGAGTCCTTCAGTGGCTGTAAGAGTCACCTGGGAACCTGAATTAAGGAAGCAGCAGAACAGCTGGATCAGCATCCTGCACCTGGAGCCTTCATCTGTTTCCCATCAGCTGACTCCGCAGAGGCACTGAAGTGAGGTGCTCTGGACCCCACTCTCCACCTGCACGCTACTTCCCCGGACCACACCAGAAAAACCAAAGCCGATGCTTTTCCAGAGACTTCTCATCACTGTGCACACACGAGTCCCTGAGGTGTCACCTATAGCCGCCACCTTACCCTCCACTTTAGGCCTCACCACAAATGCCACCATCTTATAGGAATGTATGTTGCCCACATGCTGGCTCCTTCACGGCACCTTGAATTTATTTTTTATCTTGTCCGTTGGTTGTATATGCATGTTGTCATGGTGTGTGTTGGATATATACACTACCATTGTATGTATATTGTATACCCAGGTTGTCCTTGTATATATATATATTGTATAAATACACATATGTATGTACAATCATATTACGTGTGTATTATTGTATACATATGTGTGTGTCACCTTTGTATGTGTGTAGTATGTGTACTTTTGTTATGTGTGTGTTGCCTTTGTGTGTGTGTTGTATATGTACAGTTCAAGTTGACAGGCACAGACAGCATCTATTACATGTAACCATGCTCCACATTCAGAACAGGGTCTGGCCCACAGCAGGCACTCATTTTTCACACAAACTATATGAAACATGGAAAGGATTATATCTTTACTGAGCACTCACTATGTTTCTTTGTCTGTTTTCTTGTCTTCTTCCCAATGACATCTGTTAGAAGTCCTTCCCTCGTCATCTCTCAGGAAGAGCTTTTACAAGCTCCCAAATATGTAAGCCCCTAAAGTGACCCTGACTTAAAATCGGAGCCTCAAGTTGGAGGAATGACATAGAAATGCAGTCTAATGCGTCTTCTTTACATTCAAGCATGTGCCGGCAAGCCTAAAGCAATGCGCTCCCTGATTACTGTTTCCAACCTCCCTGTGAATGCTCAATATCCTGTTGATAGCCTAGAAGAACTAAATCTGTAGAATTTTCTTTACCCAAGAAGACCTCTGATCCCACAGAGATATACACAATGACCAACAATCACAAGCAAAACACTCCCTCCAAGTTTACTAAGCCAAAATGCAGAGATTATCAGTGAGATGAAAGGCGGGAGGATAACATCCCTTTGTGTATGTGAGGTCTCTACAGGCAGTTTCCTAAATGAGGAGCAATTCCAGGTGTACACATAACTGCTCACAGGGTGGCCGAGGCTGGGATAAGATGGGCTGACTATGGACATCAGTATAGAAGCTTCTCAAAAGACTAAAATTAGAACTACTATATGCATCAACTCCAGGCCTCCTAGGCATACACCCAAAGACCTCTACATACTACTAAAGAGATATCATGTCCATTGCTGCTTTGTTCACAATGGCAAGGAAATACAATCTGCCTAGATATCCATCAGCTGATGAATGGATAATGAAAATGTGGTACACAATGGAATGTTTCTCAGTGTAAAATATGAAATTCAAAGGAAAATGGATGGAACTAGCAGATATATTGAGGCAAACAAGGCCCAGAAAGACAAATACAACACGTTTTTCACCTTCATATACGGATTCTAGCTTCAAATTTTTAGATTTGGATATTGACTTTGGACTTTCTACAGAAGTCAGGAAACTAGAAAGGACCAATGAGACAGAGGAGAAGTGGTCTCAAGGCAGAGGGGGTGGAAAGGGCTAAGCAGGGGTGGAGGCAAGAGATGGGAAAGAGAAAGGGCATAAGGAGACAGTTAACCAAAACTAAAAATATGTGAAAAGCCTTATGACTTTGTAAGTTAGTTAAAAAATATAACTCTTTTTAAAAATGAGTTTGAACAAAGATTCCTTGCGTGGATAAATAATGCTTCTCCCAAAAGCCGTGGTTTATTAAATTAAAATTCTAGTATCAGGCATGTAATACCTATTAGTTGGTCAAGGAGGCTCCAGAAAGCCCTACGTGGTTAGGGTTTTGTCAACTTGACATAAACAAATGTCATCTGAGAAGAGGAAACCTCAATTGAGACAATGCCTCCAAATGGCCTGTAGACAATTTTGTGAGAGCATTTTTTTTTATATTAATGATTGTTGTAGGAGGCCTCAGCCCACTGTGAGTGATACCACCTCTGAGCAGGTGATCCTGAATTGAGCAGGATGAGCTAGTCATGGGGGGGAGGGAAGCCAGTTAGCAGCATTTCCCCTGTGGTCTGTGCTTCAGTGCCGCCTTAGGGCTTCTATTGCTGTGAAGGGACACCATGACCATGGCAATTCTTCTAAAGGGAAACATTTAATTAAGCTGTTTACAGTTTCAGAGGTTTAGTCCATTATCATCATGCAGGAAATGGTGACATACAGGCAGATTTGGTGCTGGAGAAGAAGCTGAGAGTGGAGAAGGAGCTACATCTTGAGCAATAGGAAGTAATCTGAGACACTGGGTGTGGCCTGAGCATCTATGAGACCTCAAAGCCCACCCATACAGTGACACACTTTCTCAAACAAGGCCATACCTGCTCCAACAAAGCCACACTTCCTAATAGTGTCACTACCCATAAGCTTATGGGGACCAATTACATTCAAACTACCACAAGTGCCTACCTCCAGGTTCCTGCCTTCCTTTAGTGTTGGATTATGACCTTGTGAGAGGAAATCTTTTCCTCCTAAGTTCCTTTCTGTCATAGTACAGTAAACAAGCTTGGACAGCCCCAAAACAACAGAGGCTACTGTCATTGGAATTTGTTACCTACAACAATTACATTGTTATGGTGGTTGGAATGAGATATTCCCTGTAGTTCCTATAGATTCCCTATGGATATTCCGTAACTGAATGCTTGGTTCCCAGTTGGTGGCATTATTTGCAAAGATCAGATGTGGTCTAGGGAGAAAGTATGTCACTTGCAGTGGTCTTTGAGGGTTCCAAGGCTTCTGCCATTCCCTGTTTGCTCTCTTTCCTCATTGTAGTCTAAGATATAAGCTCTAGGCTGCTGCTCAGTCACCATGCCTGTTGCCATCCTTCCCTGCTCTGATGATGGTGGATGCTAACCCTCTGAACCTGTAAGCCCAGACAAACCCTTCCTTCAATAAGTTGCCTTGGTCATGGTGTTTTATCACAGCAATAAGAAAGCAACTAATAGGGAAGTTGGTACCAGGGAGCAGGCTCTTGCTGTGACAGACTTGACCATGTTTTTGTTGTTATTTGGTTGGTTGTTTTTTTGTTTTGTTTTTTGTTTTGTTTTGTTTTGTTTTTGAGGAATGGGGAAGACTTCGGGACTTTGGACTAGAAAAGCAGTTAAATAATGTAAGCAAAGTTTAAGTAACCACCCATAGATCTTAGGACAAAACCTACTACTGTTACTACTGTGTTTTGCTAAGTAGGCATGTTGGCAAACTGCCTTCTAAGTTTTTATGTTCAAATTTGTGTTTTACTGCCACTCCTTTCCTCGATCAGAGACATTTCTTCATGCAGTGGACAGAAGTCAAATTCAGACAATCATAACTGTTCAAAAGCACAGAGAATAATTGAGTACTCAGCCCTAAATGGGACATCTATATAATCCCTCATCAAGCTTCCAGTGGCATCATGGAAGACCAGACAAAAATAATGGAGGAGCCGAAAGCTGAGGAGAAGTGTCCTGAAATTCTGTCTTCTGAACATGACATAAAGCCTTTGAACTCATGAGCTCACAGCAGCTGTGGTTATCCACACAAAATCCAGCACATCAACCTTCCAGTGTGCATGCGTGCGTGAGAGTGAGAGAGAGAGAGAGAGAGAACAATAGTCAAAGAATAAAAAGCCGTGAACTTGAAAGGTTGTTGAGGGAGGTACACAGCAACAGTAGTAGGAAGAAGAAGGAAGATTGGTGATGTCCTTATAATTTAAATAAATTTTAAATTTTTAAACAAAAAGACTGAAGAAAAACGAGATGCATCACACTTTTCCCTTGGGAAAAGATTTCCAGTTTCAAACCCTTAAAGTGTTCTTAGATGTTGTTTTAATTAATAATTTATAAACATTAATGGATAACAATACAAAGACTGTGTTTTCTATCACTACCCAGTGAGAAGGCTACTTGGTAAGAATTTGACATTTTTTTTTTTTTCAAAATCTGTAATATAAGGAGAAAGAGAAAAGATGTGATATTAAATTTTGTCTAAAAAAAAAAAAAAACCTGCCTTCCAACATGCCTGGGGAAGGACCTCGTGAGGCCCTGTCCCTAGCTGAGTTAGTGTCAGCTGGGGAAGGGAGACTCTGTTTTCTTCAAGGATGTAGCCACTGATAAGTTGTCCATGATCCAGTAATAACCCGACATCCATGCCATGCAAGAGACCCTAATTAAACACGAAATGTTTTAAGGGGAAAAAGGCATGGAAGTGGGTGGAGGTCATGTTGACAAGAACAGTTGTGGAGTTGCAGAGAGAGTGGGAAGAGGAGCAAAATAACGTCATGTGTGGGAGTCTATGACTAAAATACATTGAACTCATCAACAATGCACAAAAATTATTTTTTAAAACATAACAAAAAATATGGGCTATAGCTGAAGTTGTACCTTGCCCTTTCTCTTCCTCTCAAGAAGGCATATGTATGAGTACAAAACGCACTGAAGTAAAAGCATTAATGTGAGCAATAGGGAGGGGTGTGGCCTTACATTTGGGCTTACTCATGTAAAAATTTACCCTTCTGGAACTTGGGTGCTTCGGCTGTTATTAATATGCAGAGAAGCATCTAAGAGCGGGGTGACAGGGCAGCCGCCAGGGCATCAATGGGTCAAGGGCCCTAAAAGCTTCCTGGAAATGGGAGGGGAGGGGATGGAGATTCCCGGGAGCCGCCTGGTGGAATTGGCACACAGTCGCTGTGGAGAAAAACAACTGCTGAGTGGCCAGCCCTTGAGTAACATAACAAGACAGCCAGCTTCTTCACTTCTGTTTTCATTGAGGGATGTGGAGCAGTTTGGGCCAGAGTGCTGTGGGATGTCTTTCTGTATGC